CCAAAGTTGCTTGTAAATTGAATTTATGTAACTTAAATAGTAAAATAAACTTACTAGAGGACTCAATATCTAAAAGAAGGCAAACTTGTCTGTAAAGCAAAACTTCTACAGCAAAAGGAATATTAATTCTAAATTTTGCCACTTTACCTCTAGTAATGAGTTCTTTCTTATAATTAATGCTTGAATATTGACAAATTTATTTTGTTGTTGTTATGTGCCATTGAATCATACCCTACTCATAGCGACCCCTCCTTGGGTTTCCAAGGTGGTATCACTACAAAAGTAGATTGCCCAACCTTCCTTCCAAGGAGTGGTTGGTGGGTTTGAACCGCCAGCCTTCTGGTTAGCAGTCACATGCCTTAGGCACTACACCACCACAGCTCCTTAAGTCATAATAGTGAAATGAAAATTAGAGAAGATTAGTGATCTAAGAACCAATCTTTTCCAGGACTTGAACTGGTTCATTCTGATTTGATCCCTGCTGAGAATTTGCTTTTCCACCCCAGGTATACTGAATCAGAATCAACATTTTAACAAGATCTCCCGGTTGTTCTTAGAGGTGCCCAGGTGATTCTTATATCTCTGGGCACATTTGTTAAATTGGAGATTCTGACTCAACATATCTGGGATGGAAACGCAAATTCTCAGCAGGGAGTTGAACCAGAATGAACCAGTTCAAAGCCCTGGTCTTTTTACACCTAAAATTCTTGAAATAATTGGTCCCTTTGGATGTGTCCCATTATATATACACAAGGCCTTCCTATTTGAATAAATTGATCTCTCCCTAGTTGACGGAAAGAGGGGAAGGTTATTTGTGAGTGAAGACTGTAGTTCTTCCTTCCTGACTTGCTGGAGAGTAGTTCTTTCATTGTGAAAGCATCAAATCTAGTAATAATAACATAAATATTCCCTTAATGTTTTCATTAATATTTAATGTTTTTATCCAAATCTAAACATTTTATTAATATTCCTATATTAACTCTTGAATTCTCGATCTTTAAGTCCCTGAAGGTAGACCACATTTAGATCTTTTGCAAAGGCGGAAATAAATGAGAACACAGAGTGGATGTTGATTGCTTTCAAGTGAGTGTTCTCAAGCAGAAGAGAAGGTTTGAAATCTCTTTGGCACTGTGTGACAGAAAGAGCCCATTTGGACAGATTATTTTTCAATGAGAATGTTGTGAAGATTCACATAAGCAACAATAACTTCCCACTGAAGAGTACACTT